GAGATGGAATAATCAACGTAAAATTGCTTTTGAGGTCCATTGCAGCTAGTTCTGACAAATTTCGCTTTTTCATTGTTACTATTTCACGTCTACCGATCGAAATTCCACTACTGCACCCCTGGCAGCTTCTACTTCTGAAAAATACTGATCTAATCTGGTGCAGTCATGATTTATACATTCATCACTCAAAACTCGCTTGAATGGCCTGAAGCGGTAGCGCTAGCAAAATCGTGCCGGTCTCACGTGGTCAAGAAGCCAAAACTTAAAGAAAACTCGCGAGAAATTGATGGTCATGAAAGAAAAAGATGGGCAGTGCAACGGGTGGAGGAGGGACCAGAAAGAGGACATGTGGCGCTTTGCGGCAGAGCATCATACCATAGATTAACAATTATAGGGTGCAAAAAATGTTTCGAAAGGTATCCAGACATGCCATACCCTTAATGTGTTGCGTGGCTTTCCTCTGGAAGGTGCCTTTCATTTCGAACCGCCTGACTCGAAATATTACTGATTTCAGCTTTCGCTTTCTCGTATAGATGACCCTTCTGCGAGGTGCGAATACCTAGTATTACAACGATACATATGGAATAGCTATGGCTAACATTAGTTCATTGGCGAGGGGGGGAGTCATCGCCGCGGGGCGAAGCATATTCATGTCCTTTACTGCAAAGCAAAGAATCCGCAAGAAAAGAAAAATGCAGCTAATTCAGGGGGTAGGGTAATGAGGCGAGTCAATTGAAATGGATGAGAAAGCGCGAATTGCGAGTTTTCATTTTCTCGCTGAGAGTCGCGAACATGCCGCGCGCTATGGCGACAATCGCCAACCCGTACCAACCAAATTGGCACCATAGGACTAGTGTCGAGTCCGTGGTAAGTCGCGCGATTCGCGCTTAGCGCAAGAATCGCAAAGCCCCATTTGAACATTTGAAACACTGAATATGAAACAAGTGGAATCATGAACAGTCGTCATTCAACCATCAAACAGAAATGGCGGCAGAATTGGAGAGCACCTTGTACTATTAGTAGTTTGACTGGTATCAGAGCTCGCGATCGGTCGCGCAAATCGCCCTAACTACTATGGTATGATTACAAAAACAATTTGTGCGCAACCAACGAAACGCCATAGCCGTGGGTAAGTACTCCAGATTTGAAATTAGCAGGGGAGAATGGGACGCGATTTTCACCATGTTGCTGGTATTTTTTTTACCAACGCACCACCTAAGACCGCTACATTCAAATTTCAACTGTGTCAGCTTATCGCTAGTTTCGTCTCTGTAGGAACTACAGTGAATCACTCCTTATTAATTCAACATTACAACACAAACGGATGAACTCAGACTATTCCAAAAGCGTAAAATACTTGTTTGAAAAAGAAGCAGAAAAGAAAATAGTTGCACAAAATGCCTAAAAATCAATTTTGCAAAATTTTTAGTCCAAACAGGACGTTAATCATTAACCATCAGGATCTCGAGAGTGGAGGGGAGCGTTCAAAACTTGGGATCCAGCGGTGACAGCAACGCATGGTTATGCATCACATTTGCCACCAGTCTTATTCTCTCTCAGTTCCTTTTGCTATTTCTAGTTATTTGCTTTGTTTGCTTTCTCATTCTATTGTTTCAAGGCGGAGGCGCCTGTAACCAGATTAGTGCTTCTTTTGGCTGACGTTTAGAAGGCACTTTCA